AAATTCAAGAAATATTCAAATTCAAGAAACACTACTAAAATACTCAAATTCAAGAAACACTACTAAAATATTCAAATTCAAGAAACACTACTAAAATACTCCTCAAGAAGAGCGACCCTAACACACATAATCTTCAGATTCTCCAAGGTTGAAATGGAGGAAAAACTGTTAAGGGCAGCCAGAGAGAAAGATCAGGTTACCTACAAAGGGAAGCCCATCAGAGTAACAGTGGATCACTCTGCAGAAACCCAACAAACCAGAAAAGAGTGGGGGCCAATATTCAACATTCTTAAAGAAAAGAATTTTCAAACCAGAATTTCATTACAGCCAAACTAAGCTCCATAAGCAAAGGAGAAATAAAATCCTTTCCAGACAAGCAAATGCTAAGGGATTTTGTCACCACCAGGCCGGCCTTACAAGAGCTCCTGAAGGAAGCATTAAATGTGGAAAAGAAAAAGTGGTACCAGCCACTGCAAAAACACACCAAAATATAAGGACCAATGACACGATGAAGAAACAGCATCAACTAATGTGCAAAATAACCAGCTAGCATCATGATTACATGATCAAATTCACACATAACAATATTAACCTTAAATGTAAATGGGCTAAATGCTTTAATTAAAAGACACAGACTGGCAAATTGTATAAAGAGTCAAGACCCATCTGTGTGCTGTATTCAGGAGACTCATCTCATGTGCAAAGACACACACAGCCTCGAAATAAAGGTATGGAGGAATATTTACAAAGCGATGGAAAGCAAAAAATATCAGGGGTTGCAATCCTAGTTTCTGATAAAAAAGACATTAAACCAAAAAAAAATCAAAAAAGACAAAGACAGGCAGTACATAATGGTAAAGGGATCAATGCAACAAGAAGAGCTAATTATCCTAAATATATATGCACCCAATACAGGGGTATCCAGATTCATAAAAACAAGTTCATATAGACCTACAAAGATACTTAGACTCCCACACGATAATAATGGGTGACTTTAACACCTCACTTCAATATTAGACTAATCAACAAGACAGAGAATTAACAAGGATATTCAGGACTTGAACTCAGCTCTGGACCAAGAGGACCTAATAGACATCTACTGAACTCTCCACCCAAATCCACAGAATATTATGTATTCTTCTCAGCACCACACAGCACTTGCTCTAAAATTGGCCACATAATTGGAAGTAAAACACTCCTCAGCAAATGCAAAAGAATGGAAATCATAACAGTCTCTTAGACCACAGTTCAATCAAATTAAAACTCAAGATTAAGAAACTCAAAACTGTACAATGACATGGAAACGGAACAGCTTGCTACTGAATACTATATGAATAACAAAATTAAGGCAGAAATAACAAAGATTTTTGAAATTAATGAAAACTTAGAGAAAACGTACCAGTATCTCTGGGAAACAGCTAAAGCAGTGTTAGGAGAGAAATGTGTAGCACTAAATGCCATAAACAATCGTGGTAAACAGTGTGGTGATTCCCCAAAGACCTAAAAACAGAACTAACATTCAATCCAGCAATCCCATTACTGGGTATATAGCCAAAAGAATATAAATTGTTCTATCATTAAGATACATGCATGCATGTGTTCACTGCAGCACTATTAACAACACCAAAGACATGGAATCAACCTAAAAGCTCATCAATGGTAGGCTGGCTAAAGAAAATGTAGCACATATATACCATGGAATAGTATGCAGCCATAAAAACAAATGACATTATATCCATTTACAGAACATGGATGGAGCTGGAGGTCATTATACTTAGCAAAGGAATGTAGAAACAGAAAACTAAACACTGCATGCTCTCACTTATAAGTGGGAGCTAAAAATGAGAAAAAAATGGACACACAAAGGAGAACAACAGACACTGGCACCTACCAAAGAGTGGAGAATGGGACAAGGGAGAGGATCAGGAAAAATATTTCCTAAGTACCAGGCTTAATACCTGGAAAACACAATAATCTGTACAACAAACTTCCCTGACACACGTTTACCTGTATAACAAACCTGCAACACATGTATGCTAAAATTAAAAGATAAAAAATAATTAAAAATAGATTTAAAAACAAAAACTTTGAGATGAGATACAAAGGACACTATATAATAATAAAGGGGTCAATTCATCAAAAGCCTGCAACAATTTTAAAAATATATGCACCCAACACTAGAGCACCCAGATATATAAAACAAATACTATCAGAGCTAAAGAGAGAGGCCCCAATACAACAGTAGATGGACATTTCAACATTCTACATTCAGCATTGAACAGATCTTCCACACAGAAACTCAACAATGACAACAACAACAACAAAAAAAAACAGACATAATCTAAGGTATAAACCAAATGGCTCTAATAGATATTTACAGAACATTTCATCCAACGGCTAGAGAATACACATTCTTTTCCTCAGCACATGAATCATTCTCAAGGACAGACCATGTTAGGTCACAAAACATTTTTAAAAACGGAAATAATATCAAGCTTCTTGTCAGACCACAATGGAATAAAACTAGAAATTAATAACAAAAGGAATTTTAGAAACTATATAAATACATGAAAACTCAACAATCTGCTCCTGAATGATTAATGGGTCAATGAAGAAGCTAAGAAGGAAATTGAAAAATTTCTTGAAACAAATGATAATGGAAACACAACATACCAAAAACTATGGGATACAGCAAAAGCAGTACTAAGAAAAAAGTTTATAGCTGTAAGTGTCTACATCAAAAAAGGTAAAAACTTCAATTAACAATCTAATGATGCATCTTAAACAGCTGCAAAGAAAGAACAAACCAAACCAAAAATCAGTAGAAGAATAAAGATCAGAACAGAAATAAAAGAAATTAAAATGAAAAAACCCTACAAAGGAGCAATAAAAGTTGTTTTTAAATAAGTTAACCAAAATTGACAAACCATTAGCCAGACTAAGGAAAAAAGAGAGAAAAAAACAAATAAAATCAAAAATAGAAAAGGGATTTGAGAGGCTGAGACAGGCAGATCGCTTGAGGCCAGGAGCTTGAGACAAGCCTGGCCAACATAGTGAAACCCCATATCTACTAAAAACACAAAAATTAGCTGGGCGTGGTAATAGGTGCCTGTAATCTCAGCTACTAGGGTGGCTGAGACAAGAGAATTGCTTGAACCCAGGAGACGGAGGTTCTAGTGAGCTGAGATTGTGCCACTGCTCCCATCCTGGGTGACAGAGCGAGACTCTGTCAGAAAAAAAGAAAGAAAAAGAAAGAAGAAATAAAAGAAAGAGAAGAAAGGAAGAAAGAAAGGAAGGAAAGAGAGAGAGAGAGAAAGGAAGGAAGGAAGGGAGGGAGGGAGGGAGAGAAAAAGAAAGAAAGAAAGAAAAGAAAAAAGAAAAAGAAAGAAGAGAAAGAGAGAGAAAGAAAGAAAAAAGAAAAAGAAAAAAGGAAGAAAGAAAAGAGAGAAAGAGAAAGAAAGAAAGAAGGAAAGAAAGAAAGAAAAATGAAAGAAAGAGAAAGAAGGAAGGAAGGAAGGAAGGAAGGAAGGAAGGAAGGAAGGAAGGAAGGAAGGAAGGAAGGAAAGAAAGAAAGAAAGAAAGAAAAGAAAGAAAGAAAGAAAGAAAGAAAGAAAGAAAGAAAGAAAGAACGAACGAACGAACGAACGAACGGAGGAGGTATTAAAACTGATGCTGCAGAAATTCAAAGGATCATTACCGGCTCCTGTGAGCAACTACATGCCTATAAATTGGAAAATCTATACCAAATGGACTAATTCCTAGATGCATACAACCTCTCAAGACTGAACCAGGAAGAAATCCATAACCTAAACAGACCAGTAACAAGAAACAAGATCAAGCCAAAATAAAAGTTCTTCCAGTAAAGAAAAACCCAGTACCTTATGGCTTCACTACTGAATTCTACCAAACATTTAAAGAACTAATGCTAATCCTACTCAAACTATTTTGAAAATTAGAGGACGACAGAATATTTTCAAACTTATTCTATGTGGCCAGTATTACCCTGACACCAAACCAAAGGCAAATCAAAAAAAAGAAAACTACAGGCCAGAATCGCTGATGAATATTGATGCAAAAATCCTCAACAGAATACCAGCAAATCAAATTCAACAATACATTAGAAAGAATACTCACCATGACCAAGTGAGATTTATCCCTGGGATACAAGAATGTTTCAACATACACAAATTAATTTATGTGATAAATCATATCAACAGAATAAAGGATAAAAACCATATAATCATTTCAATTGATGCTGAAAAAGCATTTAATAAAACTCAACATGTTATCATGATACAAACCCTCAAAACACTTGGGATAGAAAGAACATACTTCAATGTAATAAAAGCCATATACAACAGACCCACAGCTAGTATTGAAGTGGCCTCGTGGTCTGGGTTAACAACAAGAGTTCTTAGTTTCACAGCCAAGGATATCAAGGACAGGGGCCCACCAAGAGTGAGGTTTAGAGCAGAAATTTAATAGGAGAAAGAAAGAAAACAGCTCTCTGCTACAGAGAGGGGTCCGGAAAAAAGGGATGCCATCCGGCGGTAAAATGCAGGGGTTTTTATAGAAGAGCTAGTGGGGAGCCAGTATCTGATCTACATAGGATACAAACAACCAGTCAGGAACAGGTGTACCATCTGCATAGGGTGTGAATCTCTGGCAGCCCCCACCCTAATCTTTTATTATGCAGGCGGGTCCTCAGCCTGAGCTATTCCATGTTCCTCATTTCTTTCTTACTGTGCATGTGCTAAAAAGGGGAGGTGGAACACCCATGGTGGACACGCCTGGCTCCAGGTGGCCTTTTCTATCTATGCAGCTGCTGGCATACCTCTAGGAAAGCTTCCAGCTTACTATCTACCTGTAACAGAAAATAAATGTACCAACATTTTATCTCTATATTCCACCTCAAACACAGGATTTAAACTTTCAAAATAGATACAATTCTCAAGAGTATTAAAAACCTAAAAATAAGTTTAACAAAAATATGCAAAAACTCTTTGCAGAAAACTGGAAAACTTTATTAAGAGAATATCAGCAGTAAACTTTCCAGCAGAACAACAACATTCTTGGTTTCAGTCTTCATTTGTCTTGGTTTAAACCTATGGTTGCCCTTCACCTATTATATAAATATAAAATGAGGACATGTTACTCAGCAGATTTTCATTTAGATGACACTAGAGGTATACAACTACAATGTTGATTAACTAAAATAAGAAACTTAAGGATGGCCCTTTAGCTTATATCCAGTTAGCCTTTGAATAAATTCTAAAGGTAGACTTCCAGACATATTAACAAATTTTTAATTCATGCCACTTGTTCTAGTACAATAAGGAAACAAAGAGACTGTTCGAGTTCAGAATGAATTAAATCAAGTGAATCTATTTTATATGTATAACTGAAAAGCAAAAAAATACATATACTTTCAGTAAAATTTCAACCAAACAAAAACCTAAGAAAAAAGGTATTTTAAAGTGTCATTTAAATATATTGATATGAAGTAACCCTCTGCATATAGAATATGCTTAGAACTGCTAAGTGAAGTAAACAGAAAAGTCAGTATTACATTTGTTTTGTGTCTCCTGTGAAAAAGTGTAAAAATGGTACTTTGGACTAGTTTAGCCATTACATAGCTGCTGTAAGTAGAGTGAACACTTGTCACTATCTTCACCAGTACTCCTGCCTCTTGACATGATTAAAAGTATTTCAGTTTATATAGTAAACTGAATACCCATGCTAGCTTTAAGCCATTACCATCACAATTAAGAATATAATATAAACTGATGCCTTATTATAAACATGCTATACATTTGTTAAAAACAGGCCTTTATCAAATAATCTGAAAATCAAAATCAAAATGAAGAATCTGAAAATTATTGGCTGTTGGTTAAACGACTTACATTCAAAAGTCAGGAACATTTTCCTATCTTCCTTTTAAAAATGACACATATCTTATATATTTATAATGTACAACTTGATTAAAATATATATACATTGTGAAATGGCTCAGTCAAGTTAAATAATATGTGCATTACTTTAAACAGCTGTGAAGACACTCGAAATCTACTCTCTTAGCATGTTTCATATCTTTCATATCATAATTAGCTTTGATCCAATTTTTCTCCATCTCTTGAACTCCTGGCCTCAAGTGATCCTTCTGCCTCGGCCTCCCAAAGTGCTGGGATTAAAAACATGAGCCACCACACCTGGCCTTCTATCTCCAATAGTGTGTAAGGCAGGCATCTGGGGTCTTAAATACCTTTGAAGAATCTTTGCATGTGAAGTATGATATTAAAATATCAGTAATTTTATCTCTGTGTCACATTAAATAGAAACCCTATAATTTGCATCTTAGTGAATGACATACCTGCTTCCAGCACTTTAGTGAGATCAAAAGTGGGCAGAATCCCCTCCCTGACATCTGGACCATCACCAGGCTCATCCTCTATCTTAAGCAGAGCTAGTTCCTGTTGAAGACCTTCCACATCAGGCCCTTGAAAATAAAAAAGTCATCAATTTACAAATTAAAACATAGACTATGAACGAGGAAATGCTAATATTTATTCCCTCATCGTTGTGAAATAAAAACCTGTAGCCTAATTATCTCAGGAGTCTGTTGCCAGAAAAACAGGAAAGCAGAGATTTTCAAAGATTGCCCTTTCCTTTCCCAAAGTTGGCCCTAGACAACTTGCTTGTCCCTTTTGTACTCATTTGTTATACTTAGCACATTAAATCAGTGATTTCTTTGAGTCAGTCTTAGTAGACTACGAGTTTTATGCAGAAATTCAGCACTGACATCTCCAGCACTTAGTATATTATGTGACATGAGGAAGCTTTAATAAATGTGTGGAAAAAGTATCTTAAAAAAATACATGAGCTGTCAGCAAATGACAGACTAGTAAGCTGCAAGTTGCCATTCTTCCACAGAAACATTAAAAAAAAAAAAAAAAGCAGAAACTGGCTGAACAAACCACACAGGAGCTCTGGAAAACACTCAAAGGTTTATGGCAACTATGCAAATACCCAATCAATAAAAAGCCTCCATCAAAATGGTAGAAAAGTTTTGTGGCTTTTTCTGTGTCCTTGTCCCACCCCTCCCCACAGCAGCAGTAGGAAATGTTTAAGATTCCTTCCTAATGTTTTCTTTCCTCCTGTTACAGGTATGTCATAAAATATAATGCATAAATACATCTCCACCGCCCACAATCATTATTCTTCACTCTCCCTTCACCTTGAACAGCAGATGCTCCTTCATTTTCGATCTCCCCACTAGGTGCAATACCCTGGGTTTCAGTTGGTGGTTCCTCTTCTTGACGTTTCTCCTCAGTGGGCTGCTGGACCTAAGGGTATAAGTGTATGTGCAAATAAAAAGTCAATAATATACATACACACAATGCATATGTGCATCTAATCATAAGTCTAATGACATTTTCCAACAGTTAGATGTAGAGTAAAATATCCATATCCACATCATTACAGGCAACACCAGTATATCATACTTCTGAACCGAAGTTTCCTTCATGAGATGCCATTAATATTTTTTATCAGCATGGAAGACCTGTATCAGTTCATGTACACTAGCTCAAAAATATTTTTAAAACTAAATTGTTAATAGAAAACATCAAATGTTGAAGGACTCACAATCACAGGTTCAACTGGCTGGGAAGACTCTTCATCATTTCCTCTTTCTGAGGATTGGGATCTTGTTCTTGCATGCTCACTCATATTTCCCACTGAAAATAGAATATTGTTATATGGAAAATGTGTATAAGAACTTAGCTATATGTATATGAACGTTCCACGGCAAAACAGTAATTTGTACTTTTAAATTTTTGATTTAATATTTTCTAAATGAGTCACAGGGCAGTAAGTATGATACTTTCCAATCAAACGGAGTACAGATTTGTTTATATCATAGTCTAACAGGTATAGAGATCACCTTAATGCCAAAGTAAAAGACAGAGGGCTTTCCTAAGTTTTGGTTTCACAATTAGACTCACCACCATGAAGATGTTTATGAAAATATGGGCCTAGAACTGAAACTGAAGTGACCACAGCTTTCGTCCCACTCTAATTTACTAGGCCCATCCCCCCCCCCCCCCCCCCCCCCCCCCCCCGGCCCCCCCCTGCCCCGCAATCCCCCGGCATCTACCTACTCCCAAAATCAAGTTTTGTTGGAATGCAGTCTCGCCCATTCCCTCCAATGACGGCCATGGCGGAAGTGCGAAGTTGTAAAACAGAGTGAAGTTTATGCTCCTCACTGGACACCTCGGCCAAGCACTCCTCAGACCTTGGGGCCACAGTCACCAGCCCACATCGTTCCCAGTTCCCAAGCCCCTTCCTTACCACCCACGACGTCCCTACCGAGGAGTCTGGAAATTGTCCTCCCTCAAAGAGTTCCAGGAGTTTTCTGGACTCAGACACCTCTAACAACACTCCCAACACTCGCCCCATCTTCATGGGATTCCCTCCCCTCCGTGGCTCACCTTCCACCCGTGTCCCAGCTCAGCCACAGCAAGGCCCATGGCAGCCTCAAGACCTGGAAGGCGCCGTACAACTACAGCGAGGCCCTTTTCCCTCAAAAGCCATGGACTGTGCGGCAGGACCTGTCTGAAGCCCACTGGCTCCTCTTCACATTCACTCACAACGAAATTCCCCGAAAGACCCATCTGCGGACCTACCGGCTGAGTAACAATCACTGAGAAAGAATGAAGACGGCGGCAAGAACGAAGACAAGACCTTTCCTTGCAGAACTCTACGTGAACAGAAGGTGGGCTGCAAGGCGCATGCGCAGCAACAGACATGCGCGGCAACAGACATGCGCAGCAACGGACAGACACGCCCGGCAACAGATATACGCAGCAACGGACAGACACGCCCGGCAACAGACATGCGCAGCAACGGACAGACACGCCCGGCAACAGACATGCGCAGCAACGGACAGACACGCCCGGCAACAGACATGCGCAGCAACGGACAGACACGCGTGGCAACAGACATGCGAGGCAACAGAGAGACATGCCCGTCAACAGACATGCGTGGCAACAGACAGACATGCGCAGCAACAGGTCTGTGCAGCATGCGCACTGAGTGGGGCATTCACCACGTGACTGAAGTTTTCCTACCTCTGTAGGGAACCTAAACCACAAGCTCTCCTGACAGTGAAAACCAACTTGCAAAGCACTCTTCTTTTTCCCTCGCCCGACCTTTCTTTCACTTTCAATGGCTTTGGAGAATATAAGCCCCAGGTTACTCTAAGGGAAGAATGTATTTCAGAAAAATTCACCATGATAGAAGTAAATATTAAATATTTTAATACCCATTTTATATATGCTTTCATAAATCTTTTTCTGCTGTCATGTTTGCAATGATCTTACCCACTCCAGTACAATAAGAGATTCATGTTTTTTTGTTGCATTATTGTACATTCAAAAATCATTGATCCATCTGGACAAAATTAAAGTGGTAGGGAATCAACATTATCTGTGGAATCCCTGTTTCACTCACTGTTTTGAAATGGCTCTTTATCATCACCTACATCTCCACTCAATTTTGTATGTAGCTCTCTTCATTTAATTTTCTTCCCTTGAGTTCCTTATTCCTGTACCACTACTATAATATTTCAATTGCTGTAGCTTGATAATATTTGAAATGTGAAATAATGCTTGCCCTCCCTCATTGCTTTCTCTTTTTCTATCTCTTCTTACACGTTTGTCTTTCAGATGAACTTCAGAATCATTTGATCAGGTGCTAAGATATTCCTAGTGTTGAGATACTAGCTATTATTTTTAAATTACATCTTAACTTAGGAACAATAACCATCTTTCTATTTTAGGCTCTCTTTAAGAAAAATCCACTCCTCAATTCCTGAAGACTTTTTAACATATCCCTGGCTATGATTGTGTTATTTCCTTCATATTAGTTCTTCACATTCAAATTAAATTTATTCTCAAGCATTTTTATTGTTCTATTCCATTGCAGACAGATGTTTGCTTTCACTCCACTACGATTTTCACAGAAGTCAAACTTTGTTTGCAAAAAATATGATTCTATACCTAGAAAATCGCAGACTCTGCCCAAAAGCTCCTTGATCTGATCAACAACTTCAGGAAATTTCAGGATACAAAATTAATGTAAAAACCAGAAGCATTTCTATACACCAACAGCCTTCTAAGCTCAGATCCAAATCAGAAACACAATCCCATTCACAACTGCCACAAAAAGGATAATATACCTAGGAATACAGCTAACTAGGGAGGAGAAAAACCTCTACTATGAGAACTGTAAAACATTGCTCAAATAAATCAAAGATGACAAAACAAATGGAAAAGCATTTCACATTCATGAACAGGAAAAGCAATATTGTAAAAATGGCCAAATTGACCAAAGCAATTTATAGATTCAATGATATTCCTCTTAAACTCCCAATGACATTCTTTGCAGAATTAGAAAAAAACTATTTTCAAATTCATAGGGGATGGTT